AAAATAGACGTCCTTCGATAACTAAGGGAGGAAGTGTAACCATGGCCGAATATCCAGTAATCATCAACCAAGTCAGAAAATGGGAATGCCACTACTCAGGGGAACACGAAATACTACCATTTATAGAACGGATCGAGGAACTGGCAGATATGTACGGAATACATCGGGACTTATTACCGAAGCTAATGCCTGAAGTTCTAAAAGACAAGGCACTGATCTGGTTCAGGAATAACAACAAGCGATGGACCGAGTGGCCATCATTCAAAGCAGATATTTTAGCATTCTTCTTGCCCCCAAGATACTTTGAACAATTAGAGGACAAAATACGAGCCCGCCTGCAACAACCCAGGGAACTGTTCAGAGATTATGTATTGGCACTGCAGAACATAATGCAATATTCAACATACAGTGAAGAGATAAAATTAGAGAGAATCTACCGGAACAGTCGTACCGAGTATCAATGGTATATCCGTAGGAAAGACTTCCAGTCATTATCCGAGCTGTTAACATTAGCTGGGGACCTGGAGGCACTGACCGCTACGGACCGTCAAGTAAGAAACACGCTACCGGCTAAGGAGATCAAAGCAAGAGTGATTGATACATCTGAAGACAAGATCAAAGATGTCAGGACAGCTTGTCGTCGTTGCGGACAACAAGGACACTTGAGGTGGAATTGTCGTTTTTCAGGCATCTTATTTTGCTGGGAATGCGGAAAGAAGGGAAAACGTACAATTGAGTGCTGCAGGAACCAGGGAAACGAGAACAGGGTCCATCGACAGAACGGGGCGATGGGACCTCAAGTCAACACCCCGTCCCACCAGTAGGATGCATGAAGCTCAGTGAATCACGTCTGTCGGCCCAAGTGACTATCAATCAACAAGTCATGAAAGCAACGATCGATACAGGATCCTCGCGAAGTTTCATCAATTCGCAAACGGCAGCAAAAGAAGCGCTCATCAGGCTCACAGTAGTCGAGTATCCACAAGTGATCCCGTTACAGAATCAGTCCAACCTACGTACAAAAAAACTTAGCATGCAGGATCGAAATTATCTAGAACAGCATCCAAAACCACTACAAGAAATTTCACAAACGCCAGGTAAATGTCTCACACCTCCACAACAAGGATTGCAACGCCTAATGTCGATTAAAGAAAATCCAGAAGTATTTCATCCAGCTCGAGTAATACCAGAAGAAGTGCAGCGCCAGCAAAACACAGAGTCTAACACAGAATTACCGAGTCAAGAAATACACCGTCAGCAACACACAGAGTCTAACACAGAATTACCGAGTCAAGAAATACACCGTCAGCAAAACACCGAGTCTAACACAGAATTACCGAGTCAAGAAATACACCGTCAGCAAAACACAGAATGTAACACAGAATTACCAAGTCAAGAAATAAATCGACAAAACACAGAGTCTAACACAGAATTTCCAAGTCAAGAAACACCAGGTCAATGGAACACGAAACCTAACACAGAATTACAAAGTCAGGAGACACAACGTAACAAACAGTTGCAAACTCAAGTCCAAGAAATACACCGCCAACGATTTACAAGGGAGTTTCTAGCACAAAGTCAAGAAATACAACGACAGCCAAACTCAGAACCTGACAGACAGTTACAAATTCCAAGCCAAGAATGTCGAGCACAAGTTTCAATTAATCACGTTAGTCAACAGGAACAACTGCCACCTCAGGAGAACTTTAACGTAGATCAACCGAAGGCAAAAGGAGCCAAGTCACCAACACTAGTAAGACAATGTTTCGTCGAGACTGAGATTCCAAATAGTATTCAAAATCACCAGCAACAATTAAGACGTTTAGGTATACTTGAACAAAAAGATGACAATCATAACATCATAGTCCAAGACAAGTTCTTTAAAATTTTCAAAAATCCAAGGAAACGAACAAGGAATCATTCTACGAGGTAATCAGAGTCCTTCAACTCGATGGAAAAACCGGGGAAGTGTAACATAAAATTTACACTAACTAAATTTTACTACACAAATAATACCAAACAACACAAATATAATAAAAACAAAATAAACAACAAGAAAACAAACAACAATAGAAAGAAACTTGTAAACAACGAACCGTTGAAATCACAAGAACAAAGATACTGCTTGCTTCGTACATCACAAGTATAAAAGGCGAAGCAAACGCAGTAGACTGGGATTCAGCAAGACAGCGAGCTAAGAACAGGTCGCTCTATATTACATGTGCTGAAACACCAAGAATCGAAATTTACATCTCGATTTCTATTTTGTTTTATTTTTTTTTATTTTTAATAGAAATGCACATTTCTATTAAAAATCATAATTAATAACGAAATTAACATTTCGTTAATAGTAATAGAAATATAAATTTCTATTACTCTATTGTTCATAACGAAATCAAATTTTCGTTAGTAAATTACTCGGTAAGGTGATAATAACACATGAACATTAGCACCCATACCAAATCCATTGTATGAAGAAGAAATTCACATTTCTTCAAACATTTTGTCAGGGGCGTCGAAATTAACATTTCTACGCCAAAATCCATTGTATATAGAAGAAATTCACATTTCTTCAAACCTTTTGTCAGGGGCGCGGAAATTAACATTTCTACGCCAAATCCATTGTATAAAGAAGAAATTCACATTTCTTCAAACCTTTTGTCAGGGGCGTCGAAATTAACATTTCTACGTCAAATCCATTATATAGAGAAGAAATTCACATTTCTTCAAACCATATCACCGTACCAACGTCACCATCCACCGTATTCCACTGTTCCTATCAAATAAATTTATTGTAGGACTGAACCTTGAATCCGGCGAGTAAAACCCCGGCCAGGAAGGTTCGTTACAAGATGCACTGCGTGAAACTAAGCACTATTGATGCGACTAGCCCGGCACATAACATCATGCGGGATTATAAAGAGATAACGGAACCGGCTACAAGTAATAAGGCGGCCGCTAGAGTTACGCTAGTAGAGCAGCAAATTGTTACCAAGGGACAGCTAGTGTATGCAAAACCTAGGCGGTTTTGCATAAAAAATTTGAAATTGCGAGAAAGGAATTTGAATTTATGACGAAACAAGGTATATGTAGGCCAAGTAACAGCAATTGGGCAAGTCCGTTGCATTTAGTGGCGAAAAAGGATGGTAAGTGGAGACCGTGTGGCGATTATAGGAAGCTTAATTCGATAACACTGCTAGATCGGTATCCAATACCCCATATACATGACTTTACTCGCATATTGCACAATAAGAAAATTTTCTCAACTATTGACTTAGAAAAAGCCTACAATCAAATTCCGATTGCTGAAGAGGATCGACCTAAAACGGCGATAGTAACCCCGTTCGGCTTATATGAGTTTAACATGATGACTTTTGGTCTATGCAATGCTGCGCAGACTTTCCAAAGGTTTATGAATGATGTCCTAAAGAATCTGAATTATGTAGTAACGTACATAGATGATATATGTATAGCATCGGCTGATAAAAAGGAACACGAAATACATTTAAGAGAAGTGTTCAAGCGATTAAGCAACCATGGTCTGAAGATCAATCTGGGAAAATGTTTGTTTTTTATGAAAGAAGTTACCTTTCTGGGACGTGTAATAAATGTGGATGGAATTAAACCCATAGCTGAAAAGGTAGAAGCGATAAGAAATTTTAAAAAACCGAAGGAAGCACGAGAGTTAAGAAGATTCATCGATTCAATTAATTTTTACAAACGTTTCCTCCCGAATGCTGCGAAGAATGATGGCATCCTGCACGCGCTATTAAAAGGAAATAAGAAAAATGATAGATCTCCGATTGAGTGGACAGCAGAGGCCGAGAAAATATTTGAAGTGTGTAAGAACAATCTGGCTAATTGCTACAATGCTAGCACACCCGGTTAGCACACCTGGTGCTAAATGTGGACACTAGCAATGTCGCAGTAAGAGCAGTGCTGCAACAGCTTATAGATGGGCAGTTACAACCACTGGGATTCTATTCCAAAAGGCTGACAGAGACTCAAAAGAAATATAGTACCTATGACCGCGAGCTACTTGCTGTATATATGGCGGTAAAGTATTTCAGGTACATGATTGAGGGCAGGAATTGCACAGTGCTAACGGATCATAAACCGATTACATTTACTTTCTTACAAAGATCTGAAAAAGCATCTGAACGCCAGCTACGCCATTTAGATTTCATCGGGGAGCTGACAACAGATATTCAGCATATAGCAGGCAGCAAAAGTAGTGTCGTAGATACTTTATCTCGAGTTGAAAGTGTGGTGCCTGGAGTTAGACGATCACTAGACTACGTTAAATTGGCAGAAGCGCAGAAAATTGACCAGGAGCTGAACGAGTTGATAAGAAACTGTACAGCATCATCTCTGGAGTTCAAGTTGGTGGAGTTAATTGCAGAGGGTGTCTCTGTGTATTGTGATTATCCGGCAAGAAACCAAGACCGTTTATTACAAAGTCCTTTCGAGCGCAAGTGTTTGAAATATTAAACAGTTTAGCTCATCCTGGTAGAAAAGCAACTATAAGACTAATAAGAACTCGTTTTTGTTGGCCTAAAATGAAGGCCGAAATAAGTCAAATGGTGAAAACGTGCATGGCGTGTCAAAAGTCGAAAATCCAGCGGCACAACAGGACTGTGTTGCAGAATTTCAACGCTCCTAATCTACGTTTTTAGCATGTACATATTGATATCGTGGGACCCTTACCCTATTGCAATGGTATGCGGTATTGCCTGACATTCATCGACCGGTTTTCAAGGTGGCCGGTGGTGTAACCGTTGGCGGAGATTACGGCAGAATATGTGGCCGTAGCTTTAATTAAGGATTGGATAGCACATTATGGAATGCCGAAAAGGATTTCGACAGACCAGGGACGACAGTTTGAGTCCAGCAAAACGTCCACAGTCAAATGGACTTGTCGAACGTTTTCATCGCACGGCAAAGTCTGCACTGAAATGTAAATCAAGTGTGAATGGACGAGGGCCTTGCCAATTGTGGTAATGGGATTAAGAGCGGCATTTAAAGAAGATTTGCAAGCGACACCATCGGAATTAATTTATGGGGTAAATATGCGTCTACCAGGAGAGATGTTTGCTGGTGAGTTGAAGCAAGTATCGCAAACAGAGTTTGTTAAGGAAAACTATGAACGAACTGAAGCCATTGCAAGCATTGCAATTGCATTCCCATTGCAAGTATTCTTACGTGATGACGCCGTGCGACCACCACTGAAACAGCCATATGAGGGCCCGTATGAAATTTTAAGTCGTGGTGAGAAAACTCTAACAATAAGGGCAAGAGGGCGCACGGTGAATGTCAGCATAGATCGAGTGAAACCGGTATATTTTGGAAATGAAGCTGGTGAAGGTTGTTTGCAAAATAATGTCAAGGTGTTAGGTGGTAACAGTAACAAGCAGATAGCACCAAAGGTGACTCGAGTGGGTAGAGCGGTGCGTTTTCCTTTGAGGTTTATGATGTAGTAATAATGTACAATTCGGATAGAATTTGTCGTTATGCAGCCGTCAAATTCTAGAAGGGGCTGTGTGGTGATATATAACAAAGTAGGTGAAAATTATCAGATTTTTGAGATTTGAAAATATTTTATTTAAATATTCATTCAAATTATTTTTGTAATATAGTTAGTTTTGTGTTGCAATAAAATACTGTTTTTTAAATAATAAAAACTATCTTGTTATTGCAAGCACAACACACTTTTTTGAACATTTGTTCAAAAAAAGCGAAATGCATTGAAACAGCGCCCTTTTGTAGAGACACTTTTTGCTTGGTTGTTATTCGTAGTAGTTCGGTGCACGTGTGTTCTTTTATTTGTTACAATTGTAAAACCTGAAAATTAAATAAAATGTATTCTTTATTATTTAATATTAAATTGAAAATTAAATAAAGCGTATTCTTGATCAAAAATTGGTCTTTCCAGCCGGATTTTATTTGAATCATATTTAAACCCTATTTCGTTATGGCAGAGGAAATGAAGAGGTTAATGCACGTGCGTGGACGCCTGGGCGTCCACGCACGTGCATCGTAAGACACCAGAAAAGGTGTCTTACGATGAAATCGTAACTAGGACTGACAAACTAGAAGATATTTGGCAGCAGTTTGTTAGGTCAACGGATGAGATGTACGAGTTTCGAAATGTTCCTGACTACGTCGACCCTGATTCCGATTTCTCTACATTTGAGGAGAAGTACCTATCCACTCAAAGTTTAATGCTTGCGTTGAAACGGGGTCTTGCACCAAATGTGTGACCTAGAGGTGATGATGATATCATGAACAAGCTAGTGGAACAGCAAGCATCATTATTGAAACAAATTTCATCCACTTCTAATGTTTCATTATTTCAGGGAAATGAGTTTCCTAAAATTAACATGCCACATCTTCACCGATTGATATTTTGCTTAGTGTTGACCAAGTTTGGAGAATATTTACTTTTAACAAAATTTTCGACTGCTCTGGTGATGCTGTTCCTGTATCAACAATATTCGGATGGGTGGTGACATCAGTTCAGGCATCCTTGGATAATGTAGTATCGTCTCTTGTAACTACGATTGATATAGATCGCTCGCTTCTAAAATTTTGAGAAATCGAAGAAGCTTGCGGGAACTTAAGCCTGATGATGTTGTTGCCAGTGAGAGCCACAGTTTTTATATGTCGCATCATCCAGTAATTGGACCAAAATTTCGCGTTGTTTTTGATGGCTCATTTCAAGATACTAGCGGAGTTTCACTTAACAGGATGTTGCATACAGGTCCAAGTATACAATGAAATTTATTTGATGTTTTCCTTCGCTTTCGTATACATAAATATATATTCTCTGCTGATATAGTAAAAAAGTTCCGCCAGATTTGGGTATCAGAAAATCATCGAAATTATCAATGAATTGTTTGAAGGGGAGATCCATCAGAAAAACTAAAACATTTCCAATTATGTACGGTTACTTATGGTACATCATGCGTACCATTTCTCTCGGTGAGGATCCTCGAACAGCTTGCAAAGAATCACCAAAGAAGATACCCTCTTGCTGCGAAAATCATTCTTCAAGATTTTTACGTTGACGATGTCATTACTGGTTCGCAGTCCGTGAGTAAAGTAGAAGGGAAACGTGACGAGCTAATTCAACTTTGTGCGGAAGCAGGATTTGAACTTTGAAAATGGGTCTCTAATTATAGTTCCATAACTTCTAATTTTTATAATCAGTCTGATCAATGTTTTTTGAAGCATGAGCTAGATGATATGACGAAGGTTTTGGGTATCTTTTGGAAGCCATGCGAGGACGTATTTGGATATAAGGTTTGCTTGCTCCTGTTATTGTTCAATTCAAGATTTTCTTCCAAGAATTATGGCTCACTAATTTAAAATGGGACGACTATCTGCCTTCTAATCTCGATGAAGTTTGGCTAAAACATCGTGAAGACTTAAATAATGTTGCAAAATTGCCATTGCCAAGAAGGGTGTGTAACTCTCTTAATTACTTTGAGTTGTATGGATTTTCGGATGCTTCAACAAAGGCATATTCTGCAGCTGTTTATTGACAATTCCAGAATAAGGATGGGGATATAAGGACATCTCTTGTTGCTGCAAAAAGACGTGTGGCGCCGTTGAAACAAATTTCTTTGCCGCAACTAGAGTTATGTGGTGCTCTTTTATTAACGAAACTGTTAAATTCAATAACAAAGGCTTTGCCTCACAAGGAAATCAACGTAAAAGCGTAATGTGACTCTACTGTGGTTTCAGCGTGGTTATCGCAACCACCAATTAAATTAAAAACGTTTGTCGCGAATCCCACAGCAGAAATATTTGAAACTCATCCCTGAAGTAGCTGGGGACATGTTAAATCTAAGGAAAATCCAGCTGATTGCGCGTCTCGGGGCACGATGGCTCACGAATTATTAGACTTTAAACTATGGAGGAAGGGGCCTCCTTGGCGAGCGAACGTAACTACTGGTAAGTCTTTATATAATAACGATGATAATTTCCTCGCATATTCAGAAAATGTGACCGCTGAAATGAAGTGTGCCAAGATAAACGTAGTCCCTATGGAAGTAGCGAGGGACAATAGTTTAGAAGAGCTGGGAGAAAGGGTCTTAATATGGAAGAAATTATTGCGAGTTATATCATACATCGTACGGTTTCGTAGAAAAACGCACCTCCGACATGTTCAGCAAGACCGTGAGCAATCTACCTTTTATGAATTAAGTGAAGCTCGACTAATTTGCTCACAATTTGCGCAAACCTGCTACAAGAAAGATTTGCTGCAATTAAAAAATAACAGGGAGCTTAGCAGAAGATCTACCTTACTCAAACTTGCCCCATTCATTAATGATACCGGACTTTTACGCGTCGGTGGAAGAATTACGCATTCAACGTTAGACAAAAACACCCTTCATCTTGTTATACTCCCGAAGGAACATAGAATTTTCACGTTAATCCTACTTAACTCATAAATCTCTCAAATGCTTTCATCAACGCCACAGTTCATGGCTGTTCTACCAGCAGTGCGGGTTCGAGAACCACATCCCTTTGAAAATACTGGGTGCGATTACGCTAGGCACTTCACACTGAAATTCTATGGCGGAAGAAATGCACGTACCTCCAAGGGGTATATTTGCTTATTTATTTGCCTCGTTACATTTGCCATACACCTCGAACTCGCTACTGACCTAAGTACTAATTGTTTCCTACCAGCACATCGCCGTTTCATGTCCCGTCGTGAAAAGTGCTCTTCAATCCTTAGCGATAATGGAAGGAATTTTCTTGGTGCTTCTCGTGTGTTAAACCGGATGCATGCAGCAATTATGTCACAGTCTCGGAACGAAATCATATCCGCGTCTTTAGCAGAAGACGGAATCCGATGGAGTTCTATCCCACCTCATGCACCACATTGGGGTGGAATCTGGGAATCGGCAGTGCGATCTATCAAGTTACATCTACGATGCATAATAGGCAATGCAGTAATTACTTTTGAACAGATGAATACCTTGCTGACACAAATTGAAGCAGTTGAGAATTCTCGCCCCCTAGGCGCTACATCAGACCCGGATACTAATTATCTATCTCCTTCTCATTTTTTGATTGGTTGTCCGTACACGTTGGTTCCAGAAGGCGATCTAAGGCATGTAAACGTCAACAAATTAGACTACTAGCAGCACATACAAAATATGCTTCAAGAATTTTGGCGCATATGGCATCAGGAATACATAATATCTCTACAAAACCATCTAAAATGGTTTCGACGGCAACCAAATATAGCTGTGGGCAACATAGTGGTCATTAAGGAATCGAACATACCACCTGCTCATGGCTAAATACATCCTGGTTCAGATGGCTCGTAAATCTTCACACTGTCCATGGGGAGATAACGCGACCCATTACGAAGGTTGTTGTTTTACCTATATCCTGAAATGCTTTTTCATGGTCCCCGGGATGTTCGTGAACCAAATGCACAGTACATTGAGATTGCACTTTTTTGAACATTTGTTCAAAAAAAGCGAAATGCATTGAAACAGCGCCCTTTTGTAGAGACACTTTTTGCCAGGTTGTTATTCGTAGTAGTTCGGTGTGTGCACGTGTGTGCTTTTATTTATTACAATTGTAAAACTTGAAAATTAAATAAGATGTATTCTTAATCATTTATAATTAAATTGAAAATTAAATATAGTGTATTCTTAATCCTATATATATATATAATTAATATATGATATATTTTTCAAATGTTTCGTTACTTCAATAGAAATTATTGGAATGAAAACTTAAAATTATAGGATGAGATTGTTAACTTTCAAATAATTCTCAAAAAAAGAAATGGTTCTATTTATGAGCAAAGATTGTACTCAAATGAAATGATTGAAAGTAATTCAAATGGGAAACTGTGATTTTAAATGTACATATTTGTGTGTATATGGATGCCTACATAAATAAAACTACTATTACCGCTATTGTTAATTTATTCTAGATAATCATAAGAGTTTTGATTGAAATTTTACCCGTAAAATATTTCAAACTGTAATTTGAATTCAAAAAGACATTCACACGACATATCATTGTAATTTCTTTATCAAATGTATCATATATCCAAACTTTTAATTACTTTCAACAAAAAAAGCAGAAAAAGTCTACGTTCATGCAAAAAAGTTTTTTTAAATTTCGCGTTACTTATGTAATTTTTACTCAAATCAAATTTTCTTTTGTGATTTATTTTAATCAAAGAAACAACATTGAATTTCGAACATAAAAAAATAACAATTATTATTTAAAAAAAAATTAAACACAATTATATGCAAAAGCAACAATTATTGAAGCAGAAACTTTCACTTTCTAGTATTTACATTTATCTCCCACTGGTCGGCTCTTAATTGTTTCAGATAGAGAAAGACGTAGCATAATCAACCAGATGAAAATAAATCCAAGAGTAACAGCCTGCAAACTAGCTGAACATATTGTCGAAATACTTGAAAACAATATATGTCCTGATACTGTGCGGAAAATTTTAAAGAAAAGCATGTATGCAAAAAAGAAGCCATACATATCCAGATAAAATAGAATAAAATGATTAAGTTTTACAAGAAGGCATGTAAATAAATCTATGAAGTTCTAAAAATAAGTTATTATCTCCGATGAGAGTTAATTTTGCATATTTAGAATCAAAGATAACAAACTTGTGTGGAGAAAATAATGAGTTACGTCCCCCTACATACACAGTACAGTATAATGGGCAACAATCTATAAATATCGTTAATGTAAACATTCTGTGCCGAAGAACTCAAATTGTCATTTGATTCCCGAGCCACAGAGATAATTAAAAAGAACATAAACAAAAATGTAATAATCGTATTTTTCCATAATTTAAACATAAATATAAGAATTGTATTATTTCATCATTTACGAAATACAAACACAAGTTCTGATATTCTAAAATTCTTTTTAAAAGATTTAGAATCCAGTCTTGGTCCAACTCACAATTGTAACAGATTTAACTTTTCCAATTAAATATAAATTTAAAAATCTTCATTCATGTAGTTTTATTAGAAGCAAGTTTTTTTTATGTGTTTTAATATAATATATAAAAACAAAATTCATGTACAATCTATGATAAACAAAAGTTAATTTCAACCGTAAAACATGCTGGTGGAGCCGTAATGGTTTAGGGTTATATAGCCGTAAATTATATATATATAATGAATAAATATGGGTATCTAAATATCCTAAAAACAAATTTCAAAGAAAATGGCAGAATATTTGAGCTTGCGGCAATTCTTTTGTTTCAGCAGGACAACGACTCTTTGCTTACAGCAGCAATCGTACGGATTTGGCTGCTGAACCATGTTCCCAGCAACTTCAAACACTATCAGAATCACCAGACCTTAGTCCTTTAGAACATCTGTAGGTTTATTTGGAAAATAATATTCGCCATCAAGGAAGAATTGCAAAAAATAAACGCACAGGACACTGTAAAGCTGGTTGAGTCCACTCAACGGCGGCTAAAAGAGGTTATTAAAAGCAGAGGTTATCTCGCAGTCTCATAAATTTAAGATTTCTCTGAATTTTAGCTGTTTTAGTTTATATGTTAAGAAGTGAAAATAGACTTTTTCTACTTCAAAAATTGTTGTTTTTGCATATAATTTTGTTTTACTTTAAAGAATAGCTTAATTTTTTATGTTTGAAGTTCATTGTTATTTTTTTGGTTAAAATAAATCAGAAAATAAAAATTAATTTGAGTAAAAATTAAGTAAGTTATGCGAAATTTAAAAACAATTTTGTGCATGAACGTAGACTTTTCTGTTATATGTACATATGATAAAGAACAGTTTTGTTTCTTTTTGCATGAAAATTTCATTTATTCTTAAAAATTATTCACAATAGCATTAGCTTGTACTGGAAAATACCGTATTACAGTAAAACTGCACAGGTTAAAATTAATTTAATATTGTAGAATTTAAGAATTTCAATTCAATTTTATTTTCTGCTGCAAACATTCTTATATAAATCTTTAATTCGAAATGTTAGCTACAATTACAATCAAATCTCTCATGTGAATGCAGTTTTAGTGAGCGATCCGGCTACACAACGCCACAACTTTATTTGCATAACGTGATTTCAGTATAACGCGCTATAAAACAAAATTTGAAACTTATGGTTTAATTATACTTAATTTATATCATATTCAAAAACACAAGGCTTTTTTCTATATATAATCGAAGAGGGTGACAAGCATATCACTAGATTGAAGCATCCATCACTTTATAAAAACAAACATTTCTTAGATATTTATGTTTGGATCAACTTTTGCATGATAATGGTTACTTAAGCATTTCGCGCTGAAGTTATCCACGTTTAACTCATTGATTTAATTCGACTTCTTAAAACGCGATTTCATGCAACGCGATTTTATATTATATGGCATTAAATGCGTCATACTGAACTTTTAATTCAATATAAAAACTTTTTTCAAATATTTCTTTATCTTTATTTTCTTTTCTTGAATTTAATTTTTGCATTATGTTCACCACTTAAATCAATTAGATTCTTTACTAATAATAAAGATGTTACCTTTAGTATAAGAACTATTCGGTTGAGACGTTTTAATATTTCTAACGTTTTAGTTTCTTCGATTTTTTCTTCATTTAACATTTGACGTATGGAGTCCAGCTCGAAAATAATTTGTTTAAACCAGAGTTCATATGCTTAAATAAACATAAACTTATTTAATAAGGACAAAAAATTTCGCTTCACCATTAAAAAAAACAGACCTTGATGTATAATAATAAACAAGTGTTCATCGTGAACTGGTCTATCATCCTCTTTAGAAAGCATGCATTGAGCCGTCAGGATTTTATCCAACAACAGATATTCTCCATAAATTTTACCAACTTGTGTATTTAAAGGCGTGGCAACATCATCATTCCTGGACCTATTAGTTCGGTAATAAAGATTAGTTTTTTATCTCATTTATATATTTTTAAAATATTTGATGCCAACCAGCTTCCATTAAATGGACAATTCATTTTTCTAAAGCAAAAAAAAGCAAAGTGTTCAATTGAATAGACAATTGTTTACTGAATATATTTTTATATTATAAAATTTGAATTCATCATGAACTTAATGCGGTTATTTATCAGTTTATGTTGTTAGTTATGCAAGATTGAATTTTGTGTATGTTATCAGTTCTAACTTTATATTATTAATTTTTTTTGAATTTTAAACTACAAGCAATATTATTTTATTGATACTCTACTTGATACATTGATATTGATAATCAAGTATTGTAAATAATACAATCTATAAAAATTTTACTAAATTGAAAATCCGATTTATATAAAAATAACCACATAAATGACTTCGTAGTCTGTACCATAGCTTACTGACCCACATTTAATATGATATTATTGTAATAAAAATTAGCTACTAATTTAAGTATATTCTTATTAGTTATATTGAATGATTAGTATTAGTATATAACATTGAATAGTACAAACTGCAAGTTTTGATTCTTCTTTTTAAACTTACAAAAAGCTTACTTAGAGCTAGTCTTCCATTTAAATATGATTATCCCAATATTCTGTGAACGGTTTCAGAATGACCGTCTTTCCTAAGTCTTTTTTGTCCACGTCTTCCAACTTTGGAGCGCTTGTTGTTGTATTTTTCGAACTTAGTTTACTACCCTTCTCGATTCTTTTACTTTAAAAATTTGATTGCGGGCTTTTCGAGCCATATTTTCTTGACGATTTTTATGTAAAAAGTGTTCAATTATGTGCTCAACTGTTTAAGAACTTAGATTTACCATTTTAGCTATATTACGTTGGGAAATTCCCTTTTTTAAATGCTCCAATGCCAAATCTCGCTTTCCAATTGATGTACCCCTTCCCATGGTTAATAAAATGCGTGCTCTTTAATTTTTTTTAATATTTTCCCTCAAAAATATGATTACAAATGATCGCAAAATAAGAATATTTTTATTTCCGTCTGAAATGACGACGATATTAAAGGTACTCTTAACTGCATCATTTAAGCTGTGACATGAATTTTTCATCTGTTTATGGTTGTTGTGGCATTACTAAAGAATGGAAAAAGATTTTCGGATCTTTGTTTTTGGAAATGAGTTAGAACACTACAAATAATAACTCTGTATACTTGGGTTTTTTAATTTTGCCATATATTTTGAAATAAAAAATACTTTTTAAAAAATTTTGGTCTACATTAAATAACACTAGTTTACAGCCAAAAAGACAAAACTTTTATCTCCTATAAGAAAATTTTCCGTAGAACTTGAAAATCACAACGATTTTTTTTCCAGTATACCGTTTTTAAGTTATTTGCAATAAACCGTTATTTTGACTTTTCTCAAAATATCACCCTGCATATGGCCCCGCAACTTTATTTTTGAAGTTACCATAGTAGTGCGGTGAAACTTGTACAAACATTTTAAGCTACATAACATTAATGTAACTTATTTAGTTTCGCTGTTATAGATGAAAATGTACAGATGAAATATATCTTTTTTACGCTTTTTTCAACTTTTTCGATTTTCAATGTGAAGGGACTTTTACAAAAATATTTAAAAAAAATTCTTGGTTTGATTGACGTTTAACACTGTTTTAGTACAAACATTTCGAGTGACTTAACATAAAAATCGAATAAAAATTTCAGAAGTTATTTGCCTTTTCCCAAATTTGCCCAAAATAGTGATTTTTATTAACAAGTCAGAATTTATTTTGTAAAATTTAAAGTGCAAATGAAAACTGTGTTATGTGAAATTGTACAAATTTTATTTAAAAATTAAAAATTAATTTTATTAAATATTAATATTTTCCATTTTATATAAAAGTTTGACGTCACCTTCACCTTTAATTTGATATATTACGCACCACTGAGGTAACTTCAGAAATAAAGTTGCGGTGCCATATGCAGGGTGATGTTTTGAGAAAAGTCAAAATAACGGTTGGTTGCAAATAACTCAAAAACGGTACACAGGAAAAAAATCGTTGTGATTTTCCAGTTCTACGGAAAATTTCCCTTTAGGAAATATACACCTCGTCTTTGGAAAACAAAACTTTTAATTATTTGTAAACTAGTGTAAGCTGTGAGCCACTGTATGTACATATGTATGTATATTAATAAATATAATGAAATGAGATTTTTTCAGGTCTGTTTCTTTTTACTACGAACTGGAATTTGTTTTTACTGTTATGGTTTCACTTCAATTATGTAGGTCTTCAATTCTATAAAGTTATTATGATAAAGCAAAAATATCTGAATAAATTACATTTATATAAAGTACGCAGTGTTTCATGAAAAATATTATGCTATTAGACCTTTTCAACTAAAATGTTCAGTTTTAGCACGGAGAAATAATTTACAGGTTGCTAATGCAAAATAAATAAATGACTCCATTGATTTTACAGCAGCTAGCTCGAGTAGCCAGCTAAAAGCACATATGAGCTTTGGATTGTAGAACAATTAAGGTATAAGGAAACTACGTATAACAAAATGATTTTAAATATTGGAAACAAACAAAAGCTCTATTGAATGTGCGTATGAGGGGTATTCATATTTTGTATTCATATTGATTGTTTAAGTGCTTGTGTGTCTTATATGGCGACAATTTTCTGTTTTGCCTTCTTATGCTTCATAAGTTTTGCTGCATCGAGACGAAAGGGCAATCAGTGAAGTTCAATTTTTTGTTTTTATATTTACAAAATTTTGTTTCATTTTAGTTAATGAGAAAATAGAGAGGAAAGGGCGTTCGATGGTTGTCAGACACGAAAAAAGTTGTTCAGTGTTGAGTGGACGGACAAACACCATCAACACTTATATTTTTCATTGTTATTGCATACATACTAAATCATTTCGTAGGTGAGGCAATATTTTTGAAGATAATGCATAGTCTTTGTTTTTGTATATATTTTTCCTAAAATATACATATATATTGACTTTGTGTGCATGCAATGCACAAGTTTTTCCAAATTATTAAAAATTTGATTTTTGATGATATTGTATATAAGTCTCATACAAATATATGAGATTTGCCTATTGTGACATGAATAAGCACCGGGAAAAGCGCAACCATAGTTATTGTTAGTGCAAATGATATTAATATGATCGGTAATGGACAGTGTTATGCCTTATAGTAGCAGTGATATCGTGAAGTATATTAATAAACACCAAGGCATGGCAACCTACATTTTATATTTTGTATAAATTATATAAAATTAGCATGTATTTAAAATTACTCTCAAACGAGAAAAAGATTTTGTAACTAAGAAAAAATAAATGAAATTTGTATAGTTTAATGCTTAGAGCGATAACCTTACTTTACAATTTTAGGGGAACAACAAAAGTATAGTCAAATTAAAAGTTGAAAATTAATAAAGTAGAAGTAGAAAAGAAAAAATAATAAACAATTGGTATTGATTTTAATTTTGGTTTTAGTGTATATTAGGTTGCAAAAATAAAGTCGTTAAATTGTTGCATTGCAATTATATGCATTATATTTCAATATAAATCAATTTTAAAACGAAAGTGAAAGACGAATATGAATAAGAAAAAAGAAAAAGAATTGTTAAAAACAACAAGCATGCATCGTTGCCGAATTTTGCGAAACGCTAATTTAACGAATTTCATGTAAACCGGAAAAAGAAGGCGATGCTGATGTTCTTATGTATGACACACTAAGTGGCTTAACGCAACATTGAACGAAATATACATACACAGCAAATTGCGTAGATTTCCAAGTAGCGCCAGTTTGGTAGGAGCAAATTTTTACACATTTACTGATATTGAAAATTCGTTGAATACATTTAGTGGAGATGATATTTATCCAGTGGAATATTTCATAAATGAATTCGAACAACATGCCCGAATTGTGCAATGGAATGAGAATCAAAAAATTATTTATGCAATAAGATTACTTCGTGGCCTACCAAAGTCATTAACGAGAACAATTTTTGCTGTAAATTGGGAAATTTGAAACAAGAATTGTAAATCAAATTTGAGAAAAAATTAAATAGCAACGAGGCAGTTCAACTATTGCGTTTCACAAAAAAAAAAAAACGAATAAAGAAAGTGTGAAAGAGTACGCACTCAAAATGAAATTGGTCTATTTAAAAAAATTTACGAGGAATCTGTAGTCCAATATATTACTGAAGGAATTGACGACCATCCTAACAATAAATTGATTTTATATGGCAATACAACGCATGCGGAATTGCGAGAAAAGTTATGGTTATATGGAATATTTGAAATAGCAGTTAATGCAAAAGAGTTCAAAACAAAGTCATATGAAGCAAGGCTTCTATTATCTTGTTCTTCTAAGTGCCTTGTCTGCTTCGAACGTTGGCTAACATGACTGATTTTTTGGTTTTGTCCACAGCTTCACGAAAAAGCGGTTTCGTACTTTTACAAGACCACTGAACTAGATTCTTAAGCCACGATATCTTTCTTCTTTTCGGACCGAGTCTTCCTTCAAATCATCCTTCAATGATTAGCTTGAGTAAATCATATTTTTCTGAAAGCCTCAAAATATGACCAAAGTGTTCTAAATTGCGACGGTTTTCAGTCTCCAGTATCGCTCTTTCGTTGTTAAGGCACAAAAGTAAGTCCGAATTATGTCGGATGTTCCTTTCAACTGATTTTTAACATAAAGTGGCTATTATCTTACTTCATCTAACACTGTTTTAAAATTTTAAGATACTGTATCTTAAAAATGAATTAAAATTTGAACTGCGCTCAAAGGGGAAAAACCCGATTGCGTAACAGAGTTATAGTTCACAGCTTATTTTATCATTATTATAATTTACATTTAGTCGCCAGTATTTGGAATTTGGAATTTGGAATTCAGAAACTTGAATTCACTCCACTGTGCAGAGCATAATTAACCGCTTTGGTCATGAGAATACGATTCAAAATATTTGCAGAAGGGCACCAAATAAAATTTTCAACTCAGCTGACGGACGATATATTGTTAGAAAAATCAAGAATAATCCAAAATTATATGCTCTTGATATAGTTAAGAAGGTACTGATAGAATTAGGTAACACGTGCAGTGCG